TGAGTCAGAACAGCCGGCATTGTAGTCTACTCTTCCAGGATCAGGAAACAGTTCTCCATAAAATGCGTTGCACACATCTGAATATTTGGGTTGAAGGGTTCTGGAACAGTGTTGTATATACAACTTAACCACTGATTTCTAGTTGTGTCCTCTTTTGGAAGACCAAACAAAATAGTTTCGCTTTCACAACAAAACACACAGCGTCTCCACGACATGACGGTGGCAACGATACTACAGCTTGTAACACTCCAAAGAGAAAGGAAAACTTGAAATCCCATCATATGACCCCTTTAACCTCACTGCGACTGTGTGCGACAGAATACAATCTGGATGGCGCAAACTGAACTGCAGATATGATGCATTGTGTCCAAAATCACACTGCATCATGCTTCACGCAAAGGGTCAAAGGATGAATGTTTTGTGCATAGCACTTTGCATGAGCCTCTGAATCAGGGCCGGCCCGTGGCATAGGTGACATAGGCAGTTGCCTAGGGCGCAAAATGACTGGGGGGCGCCGCACAAAAGTTTTTTTCTCGGAAGAGTGCCCTCTTGTGACCATCATGCGCTCCTACACACATATATTAAAGGGGTCATATGATGCTGCTAAAAAGAACATTATTTTGTGTATTTGGTGTAATGAAATGTGTTTATGCGGTTTAAAGTAAAAAAAAAAAATTATTTTCCACATACTGTACATTATTGTTTTTTAGTCTTTGCAACTTTACAGATCTTCTTTATGCACCAAGAGCTTGTAACACTCCAAAGAGAAAGGAAAAATTGAAATCGCATCATATGACCCCTTTAAGCAAATACTGGCAATTAAAATTTTAGTACTGACCGATCATCGAACTGATTAAAATAATGTTAGAATAAAATAAAATTGACATCATCATACTTTCTGCATCATGAGTTAATTATAATACATCATCATAACGCATTAATTATGCATGGCGCAAGCATAGTTTTGCCATTTATGAGCTCTGAAATCATTTCTAAAAAAAAAATGAGTGAAAAAAAATTATCAGGGACACAAGGCAGGAAGCGACGCAAAGAAGAGGAGCAGAAAAAAAGAGCAATATATGGTAAGAATCACAAGTTAATCACGGTGTATTTGCCCTTGATGTTTATGCACTATTTTGAAATAGCCTTTTTAGAACATCTTAACTGGCAACACCGACACTGTGTAACATTTTTGCTTGAGTTAACTGCTTATTTAATTTTATTTTATTTTCTGTCAAATAAATTTAAGCTTCTGTAATGTTGTTTTAATTTCAGTTACATTACTGCTTGCTTTTAATTCACCAAAAGTGCACTAAATGTCTTTTGAAAGAGACCATGACTAGGACTATAATCTAGCATTCATGAATTAAAATAATTTAAGTTTAAGTATGACATTTTTATGCACTACGCACAAAACGGAAATGAAATGAGTATGCTAATTAGATTAACTATCTAGCTTGCTGGCTAACACCTACAAATAAATTACAATATGTAGCCTTTATTTTGTTGCCTTTTTGTCTGTTAGACTATTTTAGGCTTTCCATATTTCTCTTTGTTGTAGTAAGTACTTGTCACTGTAGGCATAGTTGTGGGTTGCATTTCTCTGTTTGGGAGTATAGCTCATGTCTGGTCTCTTCGATATTTTAACATTCTATCAGAAAATACCTACAAATATAAAAGTTTGTTATTTTGCACTTTTTTGTTGATTTAATTTCTAATTTATTTTTTGTTATTCTTCAGGTGACTGTAAGTCACATTTGTTTATTAACTACTTATGTTTATACTTATCAGTATGTTATGATTTGTTATGTTATATTATAGTAAAGCTTTGAAAAAAAAAATTATGGTGGGGAGGGGGTGTCTAAAATCTCGCCTAGGGCAACAACAGAGCCTGGGCTGGCCCTGCTCTGAATATCAATTAGTGCTTTATTGCAGTAACTCTTGTTTGTTTCTGTCTATAAATAAAAACCACACAATTTAGTTGCAGCAAAGATGACTTGCTTTAAAACATCCTGCAAATTCTCAAGATTTTCCCCACATGAGGTCCATGTGCTCAGTCCAAAAATACATCAGCACTAAAGTCTGCAGAACTAGAAGAGCATTTGTAAAGAACAGACTTTTGGTGCCATCTGCAGGACAGACATTATAAAAGCAGTAATTAAAAAAAATAAAATAAAATAAATAAATACAGCATTGCAGCATTGTCTGAACGTCCGTTAACTATTAAAAAGAATGGCAAAATAAAGAAACAAATGTTGTGCATTCAGAGCATTCAAGTTTAATTTGCCAAAAGTACAGAGGAATTTGGCCCATATAATCAAATTGACAATAAATATGGACAGAGGTAATGAAGCAGGCAGTCTTAAAGCAGACTGATAAGTCAGCAGCAGTCTCCCTGGGAGCAGTATTGTTCATTTGTGTCGCCTCCAAGTCACTTTCTTTCTTTTCTTAACAGGTTGAAAAAGGGATGTCCGATGGCCTGCTCCAGGGTGATTCGTTTGGATGAATCATACTCCATCATCTTCTCCAGAAGGTCAAAAAGCAGCTCGTGCTCCGGGGTTTTACAGGACATGTATTGCTGAGTAAGGAGCAAAGACTCAACTATATTATTTTCATCAAGGCTACCCAAACAGAAATATGTCTCAGTAACATACCGGCATCTGTACATCTCCAAAATTAGTAGTCCACAAGACTTTTAATTTAAGTATTAAACATACAGCGCAGTTACTGGAGGAAAAATTAAAGACCACAGGAATTTCACACCAGAAAACAACCATCATTTCAGAAAAAAAACAAAACAAACAAACATTGTTTTCATTCTAAAACCTTTAACATTTTGTACTTGTGCATATGAATAGTACAAAGTGATCAATACAACTCTGAGGCAATAGATATCATTATAAACTGGTTTACATGAGTAAAACTTTTTATAAAGAGACCGTATTAGCAGCATAATGTAATAAAGATTTGGAGTCTTGGGAATAAGCAGTTCAATGTTTAATAGTCAATATATCATGATCTTTACCTTTAGAGGTTTACAGTGTTTCCTCACGTATCTCCCTGCTGAGCTGTGCTCATCCCAGTCCAATTTGTCATGATGCACATAACGCCGTTTCCTGACAACGAAGCACAGTCATACATCAGACCATGAAAAATCCAAAAACATCGAATTTCTTTGATCATGTAAGATACTTTTATTTATAAAGCAAGTGGCATAAACTCCTAGTCTCAAGTTACGATACTTCACCTGGTTTTCTGGAGTAGGTGTGCAGGTATGGGGCCTAGAACCCTCTCCATCATTGCCAGATGCTCTTTACTGTCGTGAGTCTGAAAAGAGGGTTTTTTGGTAAGCATTTTGCATTTAAAATCAAGCCACAAGGCATTCAGTAGAATAATAAAGCCTGTACACATGACTTTGCACCTGAAATAACGTTAACCCCAGATAGAACTCAATCAGGATACAGCCCAAACTCCACACGTCACATGCCTGGTTCCAGCCCAGTTCTGCCAGCAGAGATCAACATTTTGCAATGGTTAAAATCATGACCACATTTTAGTGAATTAAACAACAGCATAAATAATAGTGCAAACAGTTCACCTAATATAACTTCTGGAGCTCTGTAGTGGCGGGTTGACACCAAAGAGGTGTGATGCTCGTGGTCATGGGTAGCATTGCCAAAGTCCACAACTTTCACATCCAACCTCTTCAAGGTCCTCTCATCTCGCTTCTGTAATATATTGACCATTATTGTCAGCATCCTCTCCTCACTATAAACCAACACTTGTTTGCTTATAGACATATACTACTGTTCAAAGGTTTGGGGTTGATGCAGTTTGATATTTCTGTGGAAACCATAATACATTTTTTAGGATTTCTTGAATGAAAGAATAAGAAGTTCAAAAGAACGGCATTTATTTGAAATATCAATATTTTGTAATGCATAAATGTCTTTTG